TGGGAGGGTGGAAGTCGATAGCTGGTAATGGACGCTCGCGGTCAGAATCTGGAAGCTGGAGGTCGGTTGGGTGAGGTGGAGGGTCGATCGGCGGAGGTCGACTGCTGGAGGTGGGAGGGTGGAAGTCGATCGCTGGCAATGGACGCTCACGGTCACAACGTGGAAGCTGGAGGTCGGTTGGGTGAGGTGGAGTATCGATAGGTGGAAATCGAATGTTGGAGGTGGATGGCCGGAAGCCGATAGCTGGCAATGGACGCGCACGGTCATAACCTGGAAGCTGGAGGTCGGTTGGGCGAGGTGGAGTCTCGATCGGTGGAACAAGAATGCTGGAGATGAGAGGGTGGAAGTCGATAGCTGGTGATGGTCGCTCACGGTCATAACCTGGAAGCTGGAGGTCGGTTGGGTAAGGTGGAGGGTCGATAGGTGGAGGACCAAAGCTGGAGGTGGAAGGGCGGGAGTCGATAGATGGCAATGCACGCTCACGGTCAGGACCTGGAAGCCGGAGCTCGGTTGGGCGAGGTGAAGGTCAAAAGGTAGAGGAAGAACGCTGGAGGCGGGAGGGTGGAACTCGATGGCTGGTAATGGACGCTCACGGTCAGACTCTGGAAGCTGGAGGTCGGTTGAACGAGGTGGAGAGTCGATAGGTGGAGGTCGGGTGCTCGAGGTGGAAGGGTGGAAATCGATAGATAGCAATGGACGCTCACGGTCAGAACCTGGAGGCTGGAGGTCAGTCGGGTGAGGTGGAGAGTCGATAGGTGGAGGTCGAACGCTGGAAGTGGAGGGTTGGAGGTCGATACCTGGTGGTGGACGCCTGTAGCTATAATCAAAACCTTGGCGTGCAAGTTGCCGTGCATATTCCGTAGACGCGCAGACGTCGGTATCTTTGCCCGTGCTGTCCACGCCCCACGTGGCCGTCGTCGTACCCTCTGCGCCGGAATCATATGGAGGACGAGAAATTGAAGGCACATGCTGTGCAAATGCCGTGGGTGACGGTGCAGTCCCAGCTCCAATAAGGCAAGGTGGTGATAGCCGGACCAGTTGGTGTACAAGGGTATATTTGCCCAAACTCGTACTGCCACCAATCAGGTTATCGGCGTTTTTGTCCGTAGCGTGGCCGCTGTCGGTATTCAAATAGTGAGCGCGTGCACGTAAACAGTGGAAGTTTCTAGTAACCCCATTCCAGGCACCCGTATATCCCAATTCTGTTTGTAGCTGTTCAGCTCGGGCACTGGCTGTCGCTGTATTTGCGCCAAATATTGTATCCAGTGCCCGCCGTATGTCCTACTTGTCATTTCCCTTGGATGCACCTTTTGGCGTGCCCTTCATCCCGAGGCGCGACCGGTGGATGATAGCGTCGCACTTCTCGGTCAAAGCGATCAGCTTCTCATGCTTTTGTAATTCTTCCCAGTTCTGCCAGGTTTCCTCCCACTCGCGGTGTAGAGCGCCATCGCGTATATGAACGGTAAGTGCCAATTGGCCGCCTACGTGGACCTGATACGGAGCACAGTCGTCAACTTTGATGGTGCATTCGTTGCCCATGTCGTTTTTTCAACAAATACTTGACACCAAAAGCAAAGTTCCGAGCTGCTCGTTCGGCCGGTTCTTTATCCGGAGATGCCCAAACTGTGTTGATACCTCGTTGTATGCGTTTGCTTCGGAGTAGTGTTACGGCGGTGTCTCGCTCCAGTATGTCGCCAAACTCCACAAATAGAATACTGCGGAAATCTCCTTTGGCGTAGATGTTCTTAGGAACGGGGCCATTCACATCGGCGAGCTGCTCCCTGATGAACTCATTCGCGGCTTTCTCGGACTCGAAATCCTCCAGGTTGCCGATGACCGCTGTGACAGAACGCTTGCCTTTGTAGTGGTACTCGTCCGCTGTCTTCTGAGAGTAGCCTGACCGTGGTGTCTGGTTCCCGATGTTATGGAAATTTTGCTTGATATTGTCGATGTGTTTTTGCAAATGATTTTCCATGTTTGTCATTCTGATCTGCATGTCTTCAATGTCATTGGCTACCGCAGTTGCGAAAGTGTCGAATTTGCCCTTCATATCATCAAGTTGTGTCTTCAACAGTCGCGTGGCCTCCTCAAGATCTTTGTATGAATCGCCGTGCTTCTAAATAGCCGCGATGTCGTGTTGGATTGGGCATAGCTGGCGTGCAATCAGGGCTCCAATCGCATCCAACGTAAGCGGTTCTCCCCCTGATCCAGATGAGCCACTCCCCAAGAAAGGGTTTGGCGGGGGTTGTTGAAATTGGCCCGGGGCTGCTGGTTCAGTACTCGAGGGATCTTCTCGAAGAGCTCCTGCAGCAAGTCCGGCTGCGTCGTCCAGGCCGTCCATCTCGTGTAGCGGGCTTCGAATCCTCTGTGATTTTGCCCCTGGCCGCGTTGGAGTGCTGAGCTGATGACGTTCCGGCATCCCCGCCCAGAATGGTGGATCAAGAAAGTGGGAGATTGTGTAGCAGAAAGTACTTGTATTCAGAGTGCAAGCCTCGAGCAGCTGGGAGGAGAGGGGAGGAGGAGGAGGAGGAGGAGGAGGAGGAGGAGGAGGAGAGGAGGAGGGGGATGGAGAGGAAGTCGAGGAAGGAGGAGAGGAGGAGGAGGAGGAGGAGGAGGAGGAGGAGGAGGAGTTGTCCCTTCGCCAAAGACACCTGGAGCGGCACCGCGCGCGAGCGTCTTCCGCTCTCCGGGCGGGAGCGCGCTCCAGTCTCGATTACCGCGTCGCGCCACGCCTGGACCTTGCCGTGGGGCGCCGGGGGGGGGGAACGGGCGAGGCCCGCCGACTGGCCCCCCAGGTAGGGCGACGCAATCTATACATATCCACTGCTCCCTGGCCAGGCCCATCCTGAACACAGCAGCTGTGTATACGCTGCGCCCTCCTGGCGTGGCCAGGAGGGCGTATGCACAGCTCCTGGGTTCAGGATGGGCCTGGCCAGGGAGCAGTGGATATGCATAGATCTCGTCGCCCTACCCCCAGGGTCGCGACCCCTTCCCGAGGGTCGGCATCTCGCCCCGAGCCGCTTCGTGACGGCCCTCGGGAGGAAACGGCCTCCACCGGCCGAGAAGTCAGAAGAACCGGTCGCCGAGATGTTGTTTGGCGCCGCCTGGATCCGAGGGGAGGGCACCCCAGACGACGGACGTCTGCACAGCCACAAGAGGTCCTGACCCTTTCCCCTGGGCCAGTTTTTCGCCACGGGTCAATTTTGACAATCCCAGGGCCCCAGTCGAAAATTACAGGAAAAAACGTCAGGGCTCAAAAAAGATTAGCGGAAACCTGGAGGGCTGGCTTTTCATCCCGACTCATTATCCAACGGTCCCAGAATCGCGAAACAGCCTCCTCAGGCCGAAACATAAAAGGAAGGTTCGGCCGCCGCCGCGATCTTCTTGCCCAGAGCCCCGACGTCATGATTTGAAAAGGGCCCAGGGACACTCAAATCAATAGACACAAATCCCAGGGTTCCCCATATATTTCCATTGTTTCTGGATGTCGTCTTCCCCATCCACTTCCCATGCTCTCACATTTTCCGAGGAATCGGCGACGATGTGCGTCTGTGTGTAATTGCCCCTTCCTGAGATTTGTTCATAACGTCGACCCCCAGCGGTCTCGACCCATTCCCAGGGACCAATCCTTGTGCTGATGGTCCCAAGGCCTGGCCAGGGCCCCCGGAGGTGGGCTTGTTTTCCGCCGCCACCACCATAAGTAGAAGGGGGAGCTCATCTTCTTCCACCTCCTTCCCCCCTTCAACTGATGGTGGTGGTGGTGGAAAACAGGCCCATCAGTTTTCCAACCACTACCAGAAGTAGGAGATGGGAAGGAGGAGGAGGAGGAGGGCGAAAAGGAGGAGGAGGACGGAGAGGAGGAGGAGGAGGAGGGGAGGAGGAGGAGGGAGGAGGAGGAGGAGGAGGAGGAAGACCCCCTCCCCCTCCAACTTATGGTGGTGCTGGTGGAAAGCAGGCCCATCACCCGGTATCTCTGGAGTCCCGAAACGGTGCGGTGACAAACCGTGCGGTGACCTCGAAATCCCCCAAGACCTCACCGCACGGTCCGCCAACGCACGATTCTGGGAGCTCGGATGCCCCTGTCGCCCGAGACGTCCTCGGAGAACGACCCGAGTCCCAAAGCCGTGCGGTGACCCCGAACCCCCACCGACTCACCGCACGGTGTGGTCACCACCCCGCCTGGGGGCCCCCGAGCGCCCGACCATGGCGCACAACCCTGCGCCGTGCCTCCTCCGTGCCTCGGACGGGGCCCGCCTGCGCCGCCACGGCTCCGCGGGGAGGGCCCCGCCCACCCTCGCCGGACCCACCGGCCGGCGACCGGCCGGCTCGGGCTCGGGCTCGGGCTCGCAGGAGAAGTCGAATCGGCATGAGTATCGTTTCACCGATCCCCATCCCCAGCGACGTGGCCTGAGCCCCACTGGCCGGTTTACCCCCCTAGATGGAGACATAGGCCGTTCTCTTCGGGGGGTTCAAGGGGTGTGTCCCCAACTGGGGGGGTGATTTGGTGGGGGTCTCGAAGGGGCTGGGCATGGGGATGGGGATGGGTTAAACCATACTGAGAATCGGCAGAAATCGGCAGGCTGGCACCTCCAGTCAGGAGTCGGAGCCCAGATCGGAATCCCAGGTCGAATGGAATCGGAACTGGAGCCCACCGAAATCGAATCGCATCGAGTCGGAGGAATCGAGAAGAGCCCTGGGTTCTCGTCGGGGGCGGCCAGGAGGGGGGCGTCCAAAAGGGGGGGGCGCAATGCATGGCCGGCGGCGTGTGCGCGGCCCAGGGGGGGGGGGGGCAGGGATGCATTGAGATAAGAACAGGCGCCATGGAATCTGGGGAGACCTCCTGGCCCCCGCCTTGGTATCTACCCCCCCCCCTCGTCGTCACTCCCCTCCCTGCCGCCCCCGAGCTCGGGCTCGGGCTCGGAGCCGCCCCGGGCCAGCCGCCGACCGCGCCCGCAGACTGCCCGCCGCCACCCGGGCCGGCCGGCCCTCCGCAGGTCGGCCTCGTCCTCGGCGGCCGCGCCGGGCGGCGCGCCCGCGTAGAGCTCCTCCCAGCCCGCCGGGCCCGCCGGGCCGTCTCGGCGGGCCAGGTGCGCCCGGGAAGCGCCGACCGCCCAGAGCTCGGGCGAGGCGCGTCGTGTGCAGGTCGGGGCGGCGTGTTCCTCGGTGCGGGCCCTCGGGGGGCAGCGCGCGGAGCCCGGTGCCGTGAGGAGCAGGCCCAGGACGAGAAGCGCCCCCCCAGGGAAGCGGTCGGGGCAGCTGGGGCCACGGATTGGACAGATCCTATCTCGGCGGCGAGCCGAGGGGGGAAACGGGAAGGGGCGGGCCTTCTCAGAAGGCTCGGAAGTCTCCCGGCCGTCTGAAAACTTTGTCTACACCTTCCCCGAAGACACAGGAAGACCCTCTCAGGAGGCCGGAGCCCTTCTGAGAAGCCCCGCCGCCTTCTGAGAAGGCCTTCTCCTTCTCGTTTCCCCCCCCGCCCGCCGCGAGGATCGCATCGGAGGATGTAGGGGCACCGTCGTGCTGCGTCCTCGTCGCCCTCGCCGTCGCCGCCGCGCCCGTGCGCGAGGGGGCGCGCGCGCGCGTCGGG